AGGATCGTGCATGTGACGGGTCAACCGAGATTATCAATTAACGCTACGAAAAGGTGAGCGATTACCTCGCTCAGCAAAATCAAGCCGAGATCAAGGGTTGGCCATTCCCCCCCCCCGCCTTTATTCTTACTGTCACGTTTCCAGTTCCCCATGGAAGAATAGGCTCTACAAGTGCATGCATATGTCGGGTGAGCGAGTCAAGCACCGAACTCGAATACGAGTGATATCCCCTGATTCCCGTAAGCGAGTGATAGTCCATGAACTCATTGACGGATTATAATGCACGACTTCATCTTCGTGTGACTCGATGTGACACACAGCGTACTGAGTGAAGCTTCATGACTCTATGCCAAGTGAGAACCTATGATCCAACTGTCGAGTGATCATTGGTGACGACGTGTCTTGCGGGTGATAATCCGTGACGGGCGGACCGTGTGATTATTCATGCGTGCGTACGCACCGGTTGATACTGTATGATCAATACCCAAGTGATAATGCGTGACCGCCTGTGGGATGAGTTAAAGATCAATGATCCGCATTTCGGGTGATACGGTATGGGAAGATGATCGAGTGATTCTCTGTGATTGGCTGCGCATCGAGGAAGTGATAATCCATTATTAGAAGATCCTTGGGAACTTTCGAAACAGCCGGATTCCTCCCACCATGGCGAAATATACCGATATGGCGACGCGCCATCTGATAACCGTTCCAAAGAGACCAGCTTTGCTTGCAGCCTAGAACACCGGAGGTGCTCCTGAGCACCCCCGACCGTGACCACCCCCCTATCCGCCCGCCCCAATCGCCAAGCCCCGACCACACGAGCCGCATATCCACACCACACCAAGCCCCTGAGCCCTGTGTCCGAGAGCAGTTGCTGTAACCGCATGGCGCACAACCGAAGACACCACCCAGAGCCCCCTTCGCACTCCTCGGGTCAAATCATTAGAACACCACTAGACCACACCGCACCTCATGCCATGCAATGTCACCAGACCCTTGTGCGAGGCCGCGGACAACCAGTGGGGTATTGTAGTAGCACGGGTTGGGAATGACGGAGTGGTTTAGCTGGCTTCGAGTGGGTTGATATGGCGGTCTGCGGAGGCGGGGGTGGCGGGGGCTTAGGGGATTGGTGCGGGCCTGTACTCTAGTAGATCGGCGGTTGGATAGGGACGGGCGAGGACGCGGAGAGTGCGGGCAGGGGTGGGTAAGGCTGGGTGCGGTCGGTAAAGGTGGCAGCTGGAGTGTATTGCGGCGCGATATGTGGTGTTGTGTGGCGGACGATACCCACGGCGACTAGTTCCGGTCATCTTATACTTCGGAGTAACTGGCGCATTGGTCATCGGCCCTGTCTCGAATTTTACCCCTTGACGGGATTACTCCTTGCCACGTGATCTTGTCCTTCAGGCGATTTCCCGCTGCCCGAGATGATCCAGCTGGTCAGCTGCAACGTGGCGCGGCGGGAGAGCGCAACACGTACACCCCCGCCGACCGTCTTCATCCTCATTGTCTCCACACCGGAACAGCAGTCTAACTCCCCATGTCTCCCGTCCCCGTCTCACGGCCCCGGTCCGCCAACTAGCACGGGAAACGTGCCACCGATGTCCGCCCGCCAGTCACAGCTTAGTAACCGCGCCAATGGCCGCATTGGTCCACACACCCCCGCGAGCACAGCTTTCTCTTCCAGCGCCATTACTGTATGGATACAACGTCCCAGCGATTCCCGTTGTTGCAGAAGAGAAGGCGGGTAGTACTGTATTGTGATGGGTGTCGTTATATCGTCGGCCGGAACGCCCACGCTGCCTCGCCCGCTTCTCGCTGCCCGCCAAGGAACACGACACGCCCATCAAGAAGCCAAACCCTCCAATCCCCTGTACCGGCGTTAACCCTACCGCCAGCACACCCTCCTGCATGCACCCCTTTCCCTTTCCTACCCAGCGGCATCCACACCCCGCAGCGCAGCACACAAAACGCGCACCTCCGGCCCACCGTGCAGAAATCCTTCGGCGAGATGAGGCTTCGTGCCTACGCGGCCTAGCTTCTCCTTCAACAGGCTAGACACGAACGCATGAGCTCGTTCAGCAGCTCCGCGCAGACGGGGAGTGCCACTGTGGATATGTGAGTCTTACATGGGAAACCCCGGCCCGCAGCGTGAGGGTGGCTTCAACTGAACGCGGGGGGGGCGAGATGCAGCGTACCTACGGCGCTATATGGTGTCTTGGCAATTGGTATTGGGAACCATGGTCTGCGGAGTGCGCCAGAGTTTTGGGCGGTTTGAGGAAGGACGGGGTAGGCGGACTATGGAGGGCGGGTTGGGCTACTGCTCTAGGCTGTATGCTAAGCTGGTCCACTGTGGGGAGATTCGGATATGTCGGGTCGTCATATCGGAATGCTCAGCCATATATGGCGGGAAGAAAGCGGCTGTTTGGGAAGTTCCCTAACCGTTAGGCCATTTCTGGGCTCCCGGTGTGGCGTGAGGAATGAGAGACTGCAAAGACTTCCTCATATCGTTGGACATGAAATTTGTTGTTTCTGTTATGTTAATCCAAAAAGCTCTAAGCCTGACCCTGTTTTATTGCTTGCGCTTTTGGTGACCATTTCAGAACGTATTACTACTAGTTTAGTTTTCTCTCGGATCATGCTTGCGGCTATGTATGTATTGGCGCACAGAACCGACGATCAATTGAGAATACATGGGCTGCTCGGTTCTGGAGTGCGCGCGTGGGGTTGCTTATACGGCTTATGTACGAATGACTCTGAGCAGGGTTTTTGAATAGATCTACCTCCTTCGGTCGGATCACGCTCGGCAAGCAATTGGCCAATCAATTGGATGTTGCATAATATCCTATTGTAAGAATTACAGTTGCATAATATCTTATTGCAAGAAGTACAATAGAGCTCTCTTGACCTCCGACAAATGCTGAAATAGCGGGGGATTTGACAACGCCATATTCGAAGCCACACATGAACTAGCCCCCGAGGGAGCTCTAAAACAGCGGCTTTCCCCCCGCCATGGCCGAATATCCCCAGACAGCGACCCGCCACACACTGGCTTCCCCAAACAGACAACGTTTGCATATGGCCTAGAGCAGGGGCCAGAGGGGCCCCAGGGGGGGGGGGGGGCGAGGGCGTGCAGGGAGCGCGAGTATGATCATGAACGTAACATTGCCACAGTAAGAAGAGACGCCCCCATGCATATTCGTGGCCTGCAAATCCCAGTGCCTGACGCCTATCGATATCTACACCCCCGCCACACCCCCCAAGCATAGAGCGGCGCAAGCACCAACTCAGCAGCATCAACACGCGGCGCGGCTTGACTCTCACCCCTTCGTCCGCATCTCCAGAACCAGTGGCGAGCTTTTTGACTCACCACACAAAATTCAGAAGCTAAGTCGGCGGTGCAGAAGGGATCCCACGTGTCACGTAAAAGTACTCGATGGGGTAGTGTTTTAAACGATCGTCGTTGGATCTTGGTTGATCATGACACCGTTTCTACGCTCGTAGCCCCCTGATGCCCGGGAACTGACGAAGGGATATAGGGGCCAGTGTGTGGGTCATGTGCAGAATGAATTAAACAAAAAAAAAGAAAACATGTGGGAGTCATAGAATATCACTCGGATACCAACCATAGCTCGATCAGTCGAACGAGGCATCGGAGCTTACTCCTGTTCGCAAGAGCGGCGTGCACACATCTCACACCATTACGGGCAGCGGAAGGGTAGGTGCCCAGTTGTTGTGTATGTTTTCCTCGGCCGGGTACAGGATTTCGGGGGGGGTGTTCCGGTGCGGAACTTATCGCGAGACGGTCTTTTTGCGGTCCAACGCCGCCGGCAAGAGAGGAAATCACAGTCTCGTCGGAAGCGGAGGTGAAGATAGCGGGTGTGCCTTGGTGGGAGATAGGATGGAGGGGTTTACAAATATCGCGGCGAGTTTTGCGCTTGAGAGGCTTCTGGTGCAATGTTTGTTCAAGATCATCGCTCTTTCTAGATGCTTCCAGACCGCGGCTCCTTTCTCCGAGCCCTTTCTAGCAATTTACTAGACCCTTCTTTAATCAATGTTTGCGGTTTCCATTGTTTACATGGCTTTCTCGCACTTTCCTTGTTTCGCTCCCGCATGTTCGCCCTCCTTCCCGCCACTTTCAAGCGCAAAGTTACATTTTTTGTAGTACCTTATAAGTTGATTACTATCTTGACTAATGATCGTTCTAAGAGGAGTCTCTCTCTCTCTTATCCTCGTCCTAATGACACGCTTATGATACAACTCTCTATGTGGCCTAATGCCAAGACACACGTGGCAAGACCAACATACACCCTCCTCTCATAATAGGTAGACAGATACCATATTTTTCGCCACACCTAACCCAGACTATTCCTGGGACTTGTTGTTTCCACGGCTGTAAACCCTAGTGATTGCTATGTTTTTGGCTATTTGGCCGACGCCAGGCATCCGTATTTGTTGGTTTCACCGCCCAAACCCTGAGCATCGTTAGGGTTCGGTTATTTGGCATAGGCCAAGGACGAATATTTGTGTTCTAGTCAACCTGGCGATTCGGTTTATCGGGGGAGATAAGGGAGATGACCGTGCAGGTCAGGAATATTCTCGGATAAGCTGGATTATCTCCAGATTGACCGACTTCACAAGCACTTACTTTGCAACTAGTTCCTCGATTATGTGGTTATAGATCATTTCCCAAGGGTGACCCGGGTGCCGCGGCTCATGCAGAACCACAGGCCACTGGAGGTTATCTGACACTCGCAAATATCATCCATGCACCGGACGTGTTGTCACAGGATAAATGTTCGAAGCTAGAATAAAATGGTGCACATATGACATTAAGAGCGCTAAATACGAATTCAAAAAACCATTCAATCCTAATGTTACACCCACCCTTTTCTAGACCATGCTCGTCAATAAATAGCCAATATTTCGCTTTAATACCCATAGGCCCAGTTGGTGCTGCATCCCCCTCACCATTACAATGAGATACCGCTTGTCAATATAGCCTATGTCTTTATCGCATCCCAACTGAGCAGGGCGAGATGCATAGCCGATTGGGGGTTCGATGACGAAAATTGTACGGAGCTTGAATACAATGATAATGCCTTATCCTTGTCTTTTTGCAAAACCCATCCAAGTAGCTCGATGACCATCTCAACAGCATCTCCCAGTAGAGCAGCCTCAATAATCCTTCCATATTGCCTGTTGGCTTCCTCTGGATCTTTTTGCTCGATCCACTCTAGGAGCCCGATGACCATTCCTGAAGTTTTCCCCGATATTGCGGTTTTCATTGCGGTTTCCTGTAATGCTACTGCTTCGACCACACCACCCGCGCCCATCCAATCCAGTATCGCGATCACCATTGGACGAGAGCACTCTTGCACTGCGCTCTCGAGAAGGGGTTTGCATAGTGCAGCTTTCTCCATTGTCGATTTTCCTTCTTGGTTCCATCTTAGTAGCCCCACGGCCACGACAACGTCTCCTTTTTCAACGGATGTACGCAAAGAAGAAATGTGTAGATCGCTCGCGCCACACCCATCTCTCTTCTGAATCCAATCAAGCAATCTCACAGCCATCGTGAGATAACTGTTCGACACAGCAATGTGCGAAAGCTTTGAAAGCAGTGAGGACGCCATGCCACTCGAACTCGTCTGCATCCAGTCCAGCATCCCGATCATCGTGCCCTGGTCGCTGTTCAACTGAGAGATCAGGGCATCGTTGGACAGTGCAAATTCTCGTATCTGATCGCTTCTCATCATCCAGTACAGTAGCCTTATCGGTGTAGTCCGGTCCTTCTTCCACGATATAGGATTAAGAAGCTTGGTGTATAACCGAACGGCATGGACCATGTCTTTCTCTGCCATCAGGTCCAAGACCTCGGCCATCACAGGACGGCTAGCGTTCAGTGTTTCACCTTGTGAGTGCTCGTTACACAGGTAGTGCCGCCATGATCTAGAACCTTGTATCATCCAATCCAAAATCCTTGTGGCTGTAGTGAGATCATTCCTTGACAAGGTTGTCTTAAGCACCTTGGGGTAGAGATCTAATGACATAGACTTCAATCTCATGCTGTCTAGTAGACGCATTGCGGTGTCAAACGCCTCTTCCGAATCATCTTTCAGTAGCCAATCTATCAGACCAACGGCCATCGCAGTATGGCCATTCACCGTGACATTTTCTGCCAGTTTGTGTGTCTCTTCCCTGGTCCTACCTCCCCGAGTACCACATTCCAAAAGTGATATTACCATATCAAGATCGCCAACACTCACGGCCCTGTCTAAGCCTTCTTCTTGCAACTGAAATGTTGAAAGCAACTTGTACTCAAATCCCCAGTTAAGCAGGACAATGGCCACTGGAACGTGTTTCATCAAAGCTCCTCTAAAAGCGAGAGCATGTAGAGAGATGTGCTCGAGATGATGAAGCTCGTGCTTTATCCAGTTCAATGATTGAATCACCATATCCACTTCTTTCTTATCTACCGTGGTCAGGAGGGTATGCTTGATTATCACAAGTGTGCTTGAGTCCTCTAACCCTAACGTAACCTTGATCGAATCGAATAATCTGATGATGAAAGTGCTATCACCGTGCGCTATTACTTTAGGTAAAGTAATTTCAAGTAGGGTCGAGAGTGAGAGTCGGCGTTCCTCCATGATCCAGTTGAACAGACAGATCGTTAACTCATTCTGCTTGATGGAGAGGGCTCGGTCTAGAGTCGCACTAGCAATTGAGTAGCTGGCCTCCTCACCCCTGTCCGCCATCCAGGACAATAACCAGCGAACTACTGTGGTACCACCATTCGATATAGCGGTCAAGAGGCAGATAACAAAGAGAGAATACGATGTATCCATATGTGCACGTGAAAGTTCCGTAGCTAGGACGGCTGTGTCGGCTCTGGTTGTAGCATCACGCAGAACCGCACACAACGATTGCGCGATCTTATTTGCCGGAGACTCTTGAATGATTTGTGATTCTAAGGAGGAGATGGTGTACCACCAGGGGTTATACATGGATTCGGGAGTTATTTGTACAGGTATTCGAGCCGCATCATTTTCCTGCCCGAGTGTTCTTCCAGATTGCTCAAACTTGGTATAGGCTAAGGAGATTATGGAATCATTTGAGCCAATGGTAAACCGAGAAAATTGCATTCCCAAGCGCTGGGATGTGCGAGTAGAGACCGTTGTAGTACTATCCAGTCCAGAGCTCCGTCTATATGGCCTTGTGTTATGCAGCTGCGATAAAAATGCAAGGGAACGTTTGGAATTAGTGCTCCATGAGCTTCTCATCGTCATAAGTGAGCTTGCATCAGACCCTGCTGAAGTCTGCGTCATGTGAGGATTCGGTAGTATCGGTTTGTCGACACCGAACGATGATTCAAAGGATGGGTTGAAAGCTGGCGATGGTCTTGCCTTGCGATCAACGGAGCAAAGGCCAGTCAAAACGTCGTTCAGGCAATCAACTGAATACTCTGCTTCGGCGGTCGATTCACTTTCATCTCCATCAACCTCTGTTCTGCTCAAATGATATTCCCATCTTGGCAAGAGGGAACCTTACGTCAGCCAGATTGTCAAGAGTAACGTTAGACTAATCTTATGTTGCTGAATGCGTCTGATGAGTTCGGAGAGATTTCCGCCGGCCATGGTCCAACGTATTCTCTTTCTGTAGCCGAGCTGCGGGAGAGGTGACGGACTACCAAGTATCTTTTCCTGCCGTGGCATGAGACGGTCCAAGATTCTCTCCACCTCCGAGAATGTAGACACACATGATGATAGGGTAAACGTAAGGTGGCTAACATCTGTGACGGACTTTCCAAGCTCGCTGATCTCCACTTCTTCCTGCTTCTTCAATAAGATATCCTGAACTCTTTGAAGTGCAAAATTAAACTCGCACACTTCGTTGTACGTAATCTGAGCGATCGATGGTGCATCCTTACAACCAGAGATGAAGGTGCCTAACGTCTTGAACACCTTGGCACCAATTGCAACCAGTCCAATAATAGCTGCAGCGGTTTCCATAATATTGATTCTGTCGTAGGTTTTGATGGTTTACACAAATCTTACCAACAGGGCACGCTGCTGTCACCCCCGCTCGGGTGCCAAGACATAACTCGTTTGATCCAATAGGTAAAGACCAACACTGCATCTCGCCTTAGTCATTGCTTCGTCACTTCAGGTGTTAGTCAGCTTATCCCAGGCGGTCAGCACAATCGAAATCGTGGCCGAGCCAGATATGGCTAAGTGTACTCAGTAGAATGTAATTACTTGTACTATCCCAGCGACGAACGCACCCCATATTTCGAGAATGGTCGTGGATGGAATGCCTATCCACCAAAGGGGTGTCATATTAGCTATAACGGGGAGAGGGAGTTTTCTTTTTCTTTTTTCTTTTTTTTTTTAATTCATTAATTGCGTGCGGACTTCCGTCTATGGGAATATCACACTACCCCAGAACTTCCCAACAGCCTCCACCACTAACAAAATAAAACTAAAAAGTAACTACTTGAAAATAATTTGTGTCATTTCTCTTTGTCCTCCTTTCCCCCTTGGCCCGAATATTCTCTTTCCCTCGTAGCTTTTAATTCCGTAACACAGGGTACTCTTCCCATACTACGGGCAGAGGGAGTCTTTAGTGACTCCTTGATCGACCATAACTCTCTGGCTCTCCTCAATCACTGAAAACCCAGAAAAATTACTCCACGCAGTCCAAGGATTGGGAGACATACCGACCACGCCCCGAGACACTTGGGGAAAACCTTTCAGAGGGTAAAACACAGACTCCGGTAGAATTATTGCGAAATTGAGAGCAAAAAGGGTGGGTTTCTTGGCCCATGCTCACTGCAAAAGCTCCTTTAAGGGCCAATCAATGGGACTATCTGGTCACGAGAAAACCACGTTCGCATTAATTCTCCCAGTAAATTCCACAGTACCCTGCACTGAAATCAAAATTTACACTCCCGGTACCATTTTGGAGCCCCAATAATTTCTAAATTCTTGAAATTGACAGTCGATGAATACTCCCTATGTGTTATAATTAATTTCCACGCCAACCAGAGAGAATTGTGCATGCGAGATTGAATCTACCTCATACATTCAACTTACTTTTGTCAGTTTGCAACCGCCCAAGAAACCGCGGCAAGCGATGAAGCAGGCAATCAGAGCTCGCTTTTTTTGCAGTCTCCGTATCAATTACCTTTCTTGTACGGGCAGATTCACTGCGGTAGCATGATGAATCTATGTAACTAAAATCTGTAACATGGTGTTGAGGTAGGATGTTGTATATGGTTCTTTGCCAAGATAATTATATAAACGTACATGGTGTAAATCTAGTGTGGTCGACGAGCCGGCTCAAGTCGAGCGCTGGCCATAGCTCGAGCCAACTCGACTCGTAGAAGATTGGGCTCGTGCTCGTAGGAAAAATATCAAGCTCTCAAGCTAATCTCAAGCTAAATGATGAATTTATTTGTGAAAGAACAGGCCCCATTTCTGCTCCATTGTAGGTATTCCTGCACATGTAAACAACTTTACCTAAGACCGGATAAAAATAAGTGGTAGAAAACCAACCAAAAACTATCCTACTGAGTCTGAATATCTAATAATATAAACATACAAATAGCTCAAGCTATCTCAAGTCGAGCCATCGATAGGGCTCGAGCCAACTCGGCTCGTGGCCCATCTGAGCTCGTAAGGCTTGAGAGAAAAGCTCAAGTCGAGGACTTGAGACAACTCGACTCGTCGACCACACTATGTAAATCTTTCTCCCTCACCATTCTTATACGATAACAGATATGAAAGTACAGTAACTTGTGAGTTCAATCTGCTACAAATCTTAATCTCATTGAGCACCATTACTAAACATGATCACTATTCAATGGGTATACAATGACTTCATATTGGCAGGGTCTGCAGGGAGCGTTGAACACTAGGTAAGACCTAATGTTACTCGACAGATCGTTACAGTAATGCTCAATCTTTGGGAGCAACTTTACGTATATATACTAGGGGCTTCTCTCTAGTATCCGTGGAGATTCATCAATTTTGACGTTTCCCATACAAAACGTTGCGTAAAAGGCATTAATAGAATCAAGGGAGGTTGCATGATAACAAGCTACCAATTACTTGCTTGGCTGCCGAGTGTCACTTTAATTGAAGAGATATGTATATCCGCGCAACCAGAGTCCTCCCCAGACCCTTATGCTTTTAAATTCCCCAAACGGGGTACCCCACGCTTATTCTCAGCGCCCGGTCCATGTCTTGTTCGCATCAAACATGATTGGGATATGGGGTTGAGTGGAATTTCACAAACATAAACCTCAATCATTACTATAGTTTTCTGCCATGCGATAATGTTTTTTGTAGCCAGGTCTTTTTACAACTTACTCGGGCTAAGTGTAAAAGCCCGTGCAAAGGGTGTTAGGTAGGGTCTTCAATTTGCCTTGGCGGGCTTGGCCGGTCTATGGACTTTTCCGGCCCGGGTATACCCATTGGGAAGCCTAGCAACGGAAAGTGCAAGGGTTGCGTCTTTTTGAGACCAGAGTAATCAGGTATTAATAGGTGAGACAGGTATTTCAGCATCGCATCCAGTAAAGGTCCTCGAAGTGAGGATCAAGTCAGGATCAAGATCAAGATCAAGTGAGAATGGAGGTTGTGATTGGCCGACCGGCTAAATTCGATTTGATCTTGGTTGGGCTTTTGGACCTGAAAAAAGTCGGATCAAAACTTAGGATCAAGATCAAATTTCACCCCTCGCCAAAATTTGCGTGTGGACAACCCTTACCCTGGAAATTTGATTTGATCTCGTTGCTACTACAGTATGGGTACTCAAAGTGGACTCCAAAAGTCGAAGCTCTCATTAGTTGCAGAGCACACTTAATTTTGATGTTGATCCTGACTTGATCTCCACTTTGAGGACCGTTAATGCTAGCTCAAAACGCCGTATGTTGAAATCTTTCTGGTACAACATTTTATCAAACTGCTCTTGCTTTGAAGCATTTCTCTGAGTCAATATCTTTCCTGGTTTTGTATCTGCCTACCAGCCATTGCCCGCAAAAGCCGAAACCATGCGTCCCGTTGGAAAATAATCCTACGGTGTATTGGTTTATGCTTTCTTTGGTTTTCGGTTCCGGAATTACATTATCGCGTATCAAGGGAAAACTGGCCATAAACCGAGTCACAAATCACACGCAGGCAACTACAACCGAACTTTAGGGAGGTCAGTATGGGCCTGAACGACATCCAGGCATGCGGAGATTGCCGACATGCAGTGAGATATATTTTCGCTTATCTGGCTCCCGATCCCGCCGATCTCGCCTATCTGGTTTTCGATCTCTTGACAGGGTTGGCTGGAACCTTTTTGGTTACCTTGGCGCCAAGACTGTCGTCACACGCGGATAGCCAAAACGACCCATCCTCACGGGCGAGGGAGCAGGCTCGAGAACACCTAGGCTCAACACATATAGCATTCCGATGCTATATATATCTATAAATGATTTTATAGCCGAACACCCCGAGCCTTTGCCGGTAGAGCATCCATAAATCATCCCTCTACCGGGTATGGTGCGCCCACTCTTAAAGGTAGCGGCTCGCGACGAAATGTCAATGGTTGATAACTTTGCAACGGAAAATGGTAAAAAAAAAAGCGGAATGATAGAACTCTAGTACTAGTGATGAAGTTTAGTTCTATCATTACAGATTCTTGATATCTGTCTGGATTGTAAAGTTAACAGAGGTTGAAATTGTGTATTTTTGTATGTAAAAAGCGCCAAGACTGAGCAAAGTGGAACAGTATTATACCCATTTACCGCAAAATGTCAGGAATAACGAATCGAACTGGACTGGGAATACTGGGCTTTAGATTGGTCAAATGAGTGTTGAGCCTCAATCCGACAGACCCAAAGCGTAGCTCTTGGTCATCTTGACTAAGGGGTAAGTGGTATTCCAGCCCAGTCCGATTCGTTATTCCTGAGATTCTGCGGTATACCCCCTCAAAGGTGAATTGCGGCAGGAATACAGCAAAGTGGCTAGGAATAAGCCCTCTCATTGGCCTTGGAGTTCACCTTGCAGCCACTTCCAGATAGCGCCGTGTCACCTTTAAGAGTGTGCGCACTATCTTTATTTCTAACGAGTAGTCCCAAAATTCAGGCTCTAGTATGCAAATTCAAGAACCTCTTCCAGATGATCGTAGGCCCCCTCAACCCTCGAAATCTTTCATTACGGGGTTTGGAATTAGAATGGACTCTCTAAGCTCCGATACTTGCATAATTATGGTGACAGTCTATGACAATTAATGCAATAGAGGATGTCAAAGAATCCTCAATATGTAAATGAAGTGCAGTAAGCATGTTCTTAGTATAAGGAGGGGACATCCGCAGGAGGGTAAGTAAGCTACGAGGACAGGAGGGAACTGTACTAGTATAAGTCTTGGCATATGCCAACAATGTTCGTTAAGCGAGGTTAAAGAGCGGAGGACAGTTCCTCCCTCGTAAGATCCTCCCTCGTAAGATCACCATCAAAAGAAGTTACCATCAAAGTGCCAAGTACGTGTAACTTCATTAAGGTCCACATAAATCGGATATAGTAACTTTTCAAATTTGTTTCGATTACACGCGATGTCAAAGGTATCGAGGATTTGAAGGTTTTGTTATACTCGTTAGACTTCCCGGCCCCGAGTCCTAGTGATGCACACGAGGTCTCGAGACTTTGTTTTCTTAAACAATACGAGAGAAGAAGAGACCTGTAGTTGGGCAAGGCAATTAGTCTCGAGACTCAATTCAGGCAGCCTCGAGACGTCTCGAAACAATGTAAAATGTTGAGGAGTGGAGTATTTTCCAGGCGGAGGGTCTGATACATAGATTGATACATGTACAAACTCAAGAATACATCCCAACCCTAACCCTAACCCTAATTCTAATCTGTATTCTACAAGGCCTCATTACTTGGCGTCAAGTTGAAACTTATCTCTAGAGGTGGAGTTGTGGTCTCGAGACTTTGCGCGAGACCTACCCTAGGTCTCTGTAGCCACAAGACCCTCTCTTCTCAGATGCAAGACAGGCAGAATGCCGGTCTACACCCCGTTTCTTCAAAATTTTAGGTTGCGTTTTGAGGGCTGGGTAAAAACATGGCCAGACTTGTAGAGGCGGTAGTGTCGAGATTGGTTCCTTCCTCCCGCTCGCCCAATTTCTTTACACTTGTATACGTCTTCCCGACCGCTACTCTACGCGTGGGGTGGTTTCACACACCCATCATAACCTCAAAATTTCTCGTCCCGTTACCCACATCGTTCCACGGCCATTAGCGATGTTGTCCGCACTTTATTCAGCAGGTACAGCAGTTGACCGAGCTCCCTAATGATAACCTCCAGTGCAAATCAAATCACCAGCAAGTGATAATCGTTTGGTCGTGTCGTACATCGCTTTTGAATCAACTGGTTAGCCATATACTCAGACAAGGTTACGATATCAGCTGTAGGGCTCTGTGAGAAACAGGGGCCGTTTGAATTTCGCCTGGCCGGCAATGATCAGGTTCCATATGCTTGGCAGGGCTTGGCGGCATTGATCAGTGCATATCCTTGGCGTCCCGTCAGACAAAGAAACGAGTGATAGTCACGATAAGGAGATTCTCGCCAAGCGGTAGATATTTTATATAGAGGGCAACAGGTACGTTTCGACTAGTTCAAGAAAATTTATATACACGTCCTCACCATTAATATAATTTCGTTGATCGCGCGTATCTGATCGAGGGATGAGGGGGTAGCGACCTATAACAGACCTCATCTAATGATGCATGTAGTCTTGGTAGTAACTACGTGTAGTGCGCTTTGAAAAGAGTGAAACATCTCAGACGATCTTTTTGTATATAAACCTACGTAAGCCGCCCTCGAGAGTGATCCGACATAAGCTATCCCGATGATGAAGACCTCCAAACAGGCAGTCAAAACCATACCTAATCGTCTACCATCCAGGCATCCCCCCGACATCCCCGTAGAAGACTAAGGATGACAGAAGCCCAATCCCAGCACCCGCGGAGTCACCTACACACCCCCAGCGAACTATTCGCAAATCGAGTGATACACTATGACGTGCCCGACACCTCCGTGTAGTCGGGTGGATAGTGGAGATACTGATACCTCCCCGGACCCGGGTACAGAATTGCCGCTTTCGGGGGGAAGGGGGTGTAGGTTGATGGTCCGGCAGAGGCGAGGGTCCGGGTAGTAGTTTGAAGGAAGTGACAGGTTAAGGGACCCGGTGGAGTGTAGCGTGGCGCGCCGGCTCTGGTGGTCTTGGTGTCCTCTTACGTGGCCTGGGTTATAGCTTTGTCACCACAGGGCAAGGTGTTTTATGGCCGTGGTAAGAGTAGTTTACTATAAACCGGATGTCTTCTGCATATAATCTGGATGTATACCTCCACATCATATCTTAGTTCGGGGGTTTGATCGGAGGAAATATGGGGCAGACTCTGGAACGTATTATACCGTCTTAAGCTTGGAATTGATCCGGTCAAAGTTGCATTCCGCCAGTGTACTTATTCCAGAGCCTTAATTACAGTACGATACCCGATTAGGATCTTTGGCCGTGGATTGGCTAAGTACCAATAAGCACAGCATGACCTTAGCCGATCAGATCATGCCTATGTAATTATTGGCGCTGATTCTCTCACTAATATTAGTATGAAAAAGGAACTCCGACCTTGCGTAATTGCTCGATCTAAGTTTGAAGTACTAGAGTAACCTAACTACTAGTTGCGCGGTTGGGAATAGGGTGGCTTTCTGTAATGCCTCTCCTATGGTAGTAGCTCGCAGAAAATCAATCCTTCTTTATCTCTAGTTCCATCTCACGGCGAAAAATCTTCGGCTAGCTGCGCGCCGGGCGTAACTAGTAAAGACGGGGTTTTTCAGGTGGGTAAAGCTATGCTGGAAGCTCTCGCCCGCCGTATTTCCCCTAAATCTAAATTATCATACACCGTCTTGAGATCGAAATCTCGTCTAGAACAAGGCGTTTAAAACCCTCTCCCTCCTCCGAATTCACGAAGAAGCAAAGTGAAACTAATCATAAATCGATCCACCCCTTCGCAATCGTCTCCGGCCTACGAATCACTGGAGAAAAGAAAACTTGTGTTTTGCTAGTGGACACCTCTCTTTCGATCCGTCCTTCCGATATCTCTAGCGAGGTTTGTCTATCGTGGGAGTGGTTTTAATGGAGATGGATATATGTCTTGGCGGGCCGGGACTCGGTGCCGCTAGTGGGAGTTGGGAGTAAGGATGTCGCTTGAGCCCCACCCTCGCATACATCTTGGCGAAAATATTCCCAATCCTAAAGGTCAATGCCTCACTGGAAAAGGGAAGTACGCAAAAACTGGATCATATGTTCGTCTTTATACATTTTCAAGATTATCACGGTTGTACTAATTTCATCTCGCTAAAATCAAACCGCAGGCCTGTTACTTGATGTTTTCACTGAGCTTAAGAGTGAAATTCTTCCTGAGTTTTGTTTAATAAGCGGTAATTAAATTTAAGTAAATCGGTTAAGGCTTTATTGATTTCCAAAGCTAATCCTGGATGTGAAGAGCGCCACGGCTCCGGATTGAAATATTAATATTGGACCCATTTATCGCCCTAAAAGTAACTTGAGCAGTTGTGGCAGAGGTACAGGAAAGTGGCTCGAGTTAGGTCCTCTAAGTGGCCCAAACTCTCCTTCCAGCCACAATGTTTCCACCACTCAGGGCGCACCATACGTGTCTTCGACGAAGCTAATATGTAACTGAAGTGACCTACCCCGCTCAGCGCCCTGAAGACTTTAGTTGTTTACCTCATTTACACCATTCTCTTATTCGAATACCTTTATTCACAGCGATCATGGCAGATGACGGTCAAACAATATTGAGCAGAAAGCGCACATACGAAGAGCGAAACTCACCCGGACCCGAGGACAATACGTCTAAGCTCAAGCGGGTTTGTTCGATTACCGAGCCAGGGTCCTCCTCCGAGGAGGGCGTCACAGGAAATGAGTCATGGCCAGCATCTTCGGCTCCAGCTATGTCGACGGCAAAGCCAAGGTCGAAGTTAACATGCTTCCGGATCAGTGGCATTCCCGTAAAATGGAATAAGGATGACCTACTTCTCGCCCTCAGGAGCTTTGATCCTGATTTCAATGACGCTCGCAAGCTCTCACTCTTTCCAGCTTGCAGCGGTCGTACTCAGACAGCTCTACTTCGACTAGATCCGCTCATGTGTTCTGAATACTTTCGGCGCATCGACTCCACGCAGGAGCAATACGAGTTGATTGAGGGTGATCCTGATATTTATCTAGTTATTGACAAGCACCTCCTTGGTTTAACACCTCTCAACACTCCCGGTGACGATGCTATTGTAGAGTAAGTTACACGCAAAGCCTCGATAAAAGTGCTTTCTATGTATATGTGCTAATTATGAGCGTCTTACAGCGTGGTAGCAGTAACAGGTCTAGCCGGCCATGCTTTTGGATCCTGGTGTAGTCGAAAGACTGGTTGCATGTGGTTACAGGATCTTCTACCGACTGATCTTGATAATATGCGGGTCATGACCTATGGTTATAACTCTAGTCTGACCAGAGATATAGTCAACCACACCTTTGTTGATTATAGAAGAAGCTTCATACGTGCATTGATGGACGCGAGGAGTGAAAATGAGGTAAATACTCAACAGAGAAGTAATTAAATATGCGGAATGATGATACTAATTGCTGTAGTCGAGGCCGATTATATTCATTGGGCATAGTATGGGTGGGATCTTAATTCTCCAAGTAAGCTATATGCATAATTTCATCAACTTATTTCCTACCCACACTATGCTCATTGATGATAGGTACTCCTCCAAGCCAAGGCAGGAACTCAGTACAGATGTTTGTTTGATTCCACGAGGGCCATCAGCTTCTTCGCAACTCCACATCAAGGCCTTCATGTCAAAGAGCTCCTGGAAATGGTGCACGATACAGCATCCGGACCGACGTCTAAGATCGAATTCATCAAACAGCTTAAAGAAGGCTCGAGCTTTCTCGATAGTCAACGGGAGGATATCAGCAGTCTTTGGGAGTCCTCATCCGATATTGAAATTGCTACGTTCTATGAAACCAAGAAGACGCCGACTGTAAGTAAGGTAGGTTTAATTGAAACAAAGCCTATGATATACCACACGTTAATATTAACATTTGTATCGAAGAGTTCCTCGGACGCTTGGACTAGAGATGGCGAGAATGTTCAGATGGTAAATCGAAACTCTGCAATGCTCTTTTGGCCGTTTGAACACAGGATCCCCGTCGAATCCGATCATACAGATATTGTGAAGTTCCCTGCGCGGGGAAATAGTACATACGGTTCGGTTGTAGCCCATATGACTAAATGCATGAAGCGTCTCAAAGATGCTAGTGGTGAGTAGCGGTTGAGTCAAAACATATATATGCGAGGGGTTAGGTTACTAAAATAATCGTTATATTTAAGAACAAGACAGAGGAGCGGCAGCGAAAAACTGTATGTAACAAAGGCGGCAATTCATTTTCACGCACCTGATTTGCTAAATATAGATGTTTCTATCTATTATGTACTGGAATACACTTCTTCTGAACTCTCTGCAATATGATTGGTCGAGAGCGACAGGGGTGTGTAGTAAGCACGACACATCAACTTCGTGTCTTTGGTGCAGTTACCCTACCCGATTTTATTCAGTTACCCTGCCTATTTTGAGATGGTTACCCTACCCGATTAGTGTGGTTACCTTGCCTGCTCTGAGCCGTTACCCTACCTTTTTTGTGCGTTACCCTACCTTTTTTGAGCGTTACCCTGCCTGCTCAGGGCCGTTACCCTGCCTATTTTCTTGCCAAGCCCAAACCCTAACCCTGACCTTACCCATGAGACCAGCCCAATCAACGGAACCCTTTATGATTAAATAATAAATATAGCTATTTAGTAGTCAAATGTGAGCAGAATAGGCCAGTGAGACGAACAGTAGTTGGCTGGGGGTGCGAATTGGGAGAGGGAAGACCAGTAAGAGGGGGAGAGGAGGTGCCAGTGCGGTGGAGGAACAGTGAAGGGAGCTGGAATATATCAGAGCTGGCACTGGAGCCGGTACTGGAGCTGGCAATGGAGCTGGCGCCGGAGCTGGCATATAGTGGAGCGGGCACCGGAAGGGGCATTGGAGCCGGCATTGGAGCTGGGACAGGAGTTGGCATCGAGGCGAACGTCGGAGTAGTCACTCGAGCGGTCACCAGAGTGGACACAAGAGCGGGAACACGAGCAGGAACACGAGCGGGAACAGGGGTGGGCATAAGAGCGGGCACAGGAGTGGGCGTTAGAGCTGGTACCGGAGCTGGCACCGGAGGGGGCACCGGAGCGGGTACCGGAGCTGCCATCGGAGCGGGCATCAGAGCTGGCACTGGAGCTGGAAGCGAAGCGGGCACTGGAGCTTGCAGAGAAGTGGGCACTGGAGCTTGCAGAGAAGCGGGCACTCTAGCTGGCATGTATCTGAGTTGGCACTGGAGCCGGCATCTAATGGAGCTGGCACTGGAGCGGGTATTAGAGATGGCATTGGGGCGGCCCCGGCTAGAGCTGGCATATATTTGAGCCGACACCGAAGCTGACACTGGGGCTGACCTTGATTTTAGCTCGCACCGGATCGGGCATTAGAGCTGGCACTGGACCTGGCATTGAAAATCGGAAATAGATCTCCAGAGCAAGATTTAGGCATTTATGCGACATGGCCGGGAAAACAGACCATGGGACGGCTAAGACAAAATTACCTAATTACTAGAGGTGCCTAGATACTACACATAGGTGGGAGAGAAGAGGACCTCGCGGTCGCGAGGTGGCGCACCCCTAGTATGTAGTACAAGCTGAGCAACAAAGAATCCTGGACTGGTTCTGTTCGGAAGATACAGCAAAAAGACATGCTGACATATCGGATAAGCGGAGTGACGGGATCGGGGAATGGGCTTTGAAGACTCCTGAGTTCTGTCGGTGGTTGGGAGGAGACTCAGCTGGCTTATCCTCTTTGCTTTGGGTTGCCGGTATTGGTGAGTTCAGCTAATTTCCCATATCCTCTACTTCCGTAATAATATTAACTGAAGACCTTGTAGCCGGATCAGGCAAAACGTATTTCAGGTATGAAAACCTCTCGTTTCAAATTATGTTGGTTCAACCTAATTTTAACTTTCTCCACAGCTCAGTAGTGGTCGATCATCTATTGGAAAGCTTTGAAGCCTCGGCTAGTGTCGGAGTTTCGTACATTTATTTTGACTATAAACAGAGGGACCGCCAAAAGCCTGTTCATACCCTTTCGAGCATTATTAAACAGCTAGCGGGTCGACTACCCGAACTTCCCAGTCCTCTGAAGGACCTATACGAGAGGTATAGGTCAAAAGGAGTACCGCAATTTCACGAACTGCGTTCCTCATTATTGGCGTTGGCAAAGCTATTCACCCGTTCGTTTATAGTTTTGGATGCCCTGGATGAATGTGATCAGAAGGAGCAAAGGGAGGCGTTACTTCCTTTGTTTCACCAATTGAGTATCAATGGTATCAAGGTCTTGGTGACAAGTCGGCCACATCCAATCGACATTAAGGATTCATTTAGGGATGTGCCCTGTATCAATTACATAGCGCAAGATGAAGATATCAAAGCATACATCAAAACCAGAATCGACATGATCCCTCAGGCGAAGACTCTGATCAGGGGTAACAAGATCGAAGATCAACTTTTTTCAGATCTTATCAACGCTGCGAATGGAGTATATGTGCAATTTCTAATTTATTTTCTCTCGAATTTAAATTCTGATAGGTAGCCAGGATATTATTCGTTAGTCTCAATGTCGACTTTCTTTGTCAGCAGCCGACTAGACACGATGTACTAGCGGAGCTCATGAAGATTCAAACCTCGGGAGATCAAGAAACAAGAATGGATAGGACCTACGACAGAATAATGACGAGCATCCGCGCTCAGAACCCCCGATCTGTTGAACTTGGCATCAAGATTCTCACATGGCTCGTGGCAGCCCGTCGTGTTCTCACGCTCCGGGAGCTCCAAACCGCAGTTGCAATCAAGCTGGGCCACAACGAATTTGACGAAGACCGTATGCCTCCTCCAGCAATCATACTTGACATATGTTGTGGCCTTGCCATGATAGACGAGATGAGCAAGGAAATTCGTTTGACACATTTCACTGTACACCAGTATTTGCTCAAGGTGGGAATAGTTGCCGATGATATGCATCAAATAATTGCTCGGGCATGTTTGACTTTTCTTTCCTTCGATATTCCTGAGATCGAGTTGGAAGTGATAGGTGGTAAAACTATTCTGATACTGAGCTACTTCTCCTATCTGCAACGCATTGAGCGTTATCCCCTACTAGAATATATTGCTCATAGTCTATCGTACCACGTCACCTTCGATGAGACAAAGACCCTCTCATATGTCCGCGAGTTTCTCTCTGAAACTAAACGCGCCACTCTATACCTCCAGATGCTCAATGTTCTTCGTACGAATAGTAGGAAGGTTATGGGGCGTTCGATAGGCTGGATAGGCCTTTCCCGAATTCAAATAGCAGCAATGGTGGGGCACCGTGCGATGGTAGAGGAGATACTCCTCAAGGACTCAACATCTGTCGAATTCAAAGACCACGATGGACACACGCTGTTGCATATAGCAGCCGAGTGCGGACACGAAGCTGTCGCACGTTTTTCCTTGAGGCGGGTGCAAACATTGAGGCGGAGAGTACCAATGGGAGTAGGCCATTGGATATGGCGGTATTAGCGGGGAAGAAATCGCTTGTTCGCATCCTCTGCGAGCATAACGCCGAAATAGCTTACTGGGGAAGAGACTGTGCCTCACTTTTGTATGGCTTATATTTCCGCGACAAAGATATTTTACGTATTTTGATTGAGTATGGGGCAAACTCTAAGGATGGCAATGACTCCTATGTGCTTTACAATGCGGTTGTTAGCGGGGATAAAGAGATTGTCGGGTACTTTCTTGATATAGGTGTCGATATTAACTCGCACGACCGTGAGGGAATTACCTCGCTGCATTTTGCAGCAAAAAGACCTGGGGCGAATGGAAAGTTCGCCAGCTACCTGATCGAGAAGGGGGCAAATATAGAAGCCTTGGACAATAACAACCGCACTCCTTTACATATAGCCGCGTCTAAGGGTAATAGACATGTTGTACAGGTTCTGGTCGATGCTGGTGCAAACATTAATCACCGGGACAAGGGCGGTATCACACCGCTACACGAGGCCGTAGTTTCCGGTGCCGGTGCGGAATCCGTTGTGGAATACCTGCTGTCGAAGGGATGCGAAATTGATTCCCAAGACTCCGATGGGCGGACGGCATTGCATAGGGTAACGCCTCTCGCACAGTTAACTTCGTCCAGAACTATTTTGACATTACTTGTCGAACGTGGCACCAATCTTAAGTTAAGTGACAATGATGGTGATACACCGCTCCTTTGGGCTGCAAAGGCTTCTTGCTTTCCTGCTGTAGAAATCTTACTCCTGCATGGCGCGGACCACAACGCTCAAAACAACTTACTACATACATCACTTCATTGGGCGGCTGGACATGATGATGAAGCGATGATTGGCATGTTATTAAGCCACGGCGCCAGCCATCGAGCTCTGGACTACCAGCAATTCACTCCGCTTCACTGGGCAGCATTTTCTGGTAGCGAGGCTGCTGCAAAGGTGTTACTAGAAGCAGGTGCTGATGTTACCTCTGGACAGATTCAGAGACAGTCACCTCTCGATGTGGTCGAGGCGGTGTTGAATGAACTTCTACGCTGCCAGGACCCGCCCCGCGGCAAAAGCAAAAGTTTCTTGAAATCAGAGAACTCCAACATAGCCTCCGAATCAATATCTACATCCCTGTGGGAAAGTAGACACGTGCCCGGGCTGCAGAAGACTCATTATCTCAGGGGACACTCTCTTGACAGGTCGAAACTTGAGCGAACTAGGGATCTCTTCATAGCAGCGAAGGAGCGCCAATTACCCACCACCGCTCGGAGCCCACTACCCAGTGCCGTGAGGGCAATCACACAGAACGTCGAAGAGGCAGGATAATTCTGAAGGTCGGGATAATTCGTTGGATATAGTGATGAAAGCGGCGAAGTAATAGATACATGGCCGCATATTTCATTTGGGCACGTTTCATCTGGTTCGATAAAATATGTATTTAGTGGTAGTATCTTCTGCGAGGAGAGATATACGGTGACACTGATTTCTAGTTTTTTTGTGTACTGTCATTACGAGGTGGTACTTTGGACAGGATGGTAGTTCTTTGCTTATTTTACCGCCGAAGGGGGACGTTTTTGTGCGGGATTCTATACGCGTGGTTGTTGTGTTTTTATTTTTCGTTTTCTCGGTTTTTCGATTTCTTGTTCATCTATGGTTTACCTGAGTCCGATATATTTTTAAACTTCCTGAATCCGATCATGTCTATCTTTGGCAAACGATGAGGCTTCGCAATATTTTATTTCACTAAATCCACCACTACTTACCAAAAACCCACATTCCGCTGCCATGCTGCATTTTACATGCTACCCATGTCCCTCCCATCCCTAAGTACGATACCCTGCTCTGATACGTACAACGAACATGCCTATCTACTGAACGTTCCGCCTATGGGTCGTGGTTTTGCAAACAAATTGGCGTCCCCCATACGGGTAACCTATTGGGTGAACGTTCAGTGAATGGGCAAAATAAATGTTCTTAAGGCTAACCAATAAACTATTTTATATGATCGCAAATCATTCCCCCCGAGCTTCCGAGCTCCTAAATTGTCTCTGAATTTTGATAACAGTAATCAATGAAGATAGATGTATCTCTTTGCCGTCAGCTAGCTACATGTAGCTGGCCGGAAAGAATTGGTGGTGTTGAAATAGTGATGCACACGATACAAAAAGTCTCGAGACATTGTTTTCTTAGACGATACGAGAGAAGACGAGACCTGTAGTTGGGCAAGACAATTAGTCTCGAGACTCATTCAGCAGTCTCGAGACGTCTCGAAACAATGTAGAATGTTGAAAAATGAAGTATTTTCCAGGCGGAGGCTTTAATACGTAGATTGATACGTGTACTCGCATGTCAAGTATGTTTTTGCGCAACCAGCAAAACATATAGAATCTCGAGAGCTTTCCCATCTCCCCTGAAATTATGCATCTTTTATCTAGACACCTGAAAGACTCTACAGGCCACTTTTAGGCCATATCCATAAAGAACGAGGCGAAGGGTGTCTTAAAAGTTCTTTTATTGCTTTCCTCTCCACCTTTACCAGTATCTCAATTAGGGCAAGAATTTGAAGCATGAATCTCCCTTATCGAAACTATACTATACTTGGTCGTCGCAGTTTTGGTATAACTATGGGACCTTTTATGAGTTGTTGAAAACCTGGATTTTTGGTGTGTTTTGCTGGTTGGGCAAATACATAGTTGACAAGCGAGTACAAACTCAAGAATACATCCAAAACCTAGTTAACCCTAACCCTAATTTTAATTCTGTATTCTACAAGGCCTCATTACTTGGCGTCATGTCAAGTAGTTTACACACCCAGTCCAACTAAACACAACACCACGAACCAACAATACGTCGCCCGCTCCGACGTGACGCACCCGCAGCCGTCCAACCCAGTTTTATCCGGCACCCCGATTCCCGCTCGTATAGCGGAATGTGGCGGGTGCGGCGCGGTTCGGGAGTTGTGGAGTAGTAGAGCCTAGCTTACCGGGGGTGGACTGTGGTTCAGATGTGGTAGTTTGGTGCTGTAACACCCCTCGATTTCTCTGCTTGAGGATGGACCGCGTGCTGAACATCACTAACAGCACCAGGACCGCACCCGCCGCATACACCGCCGCCGTCCTCTCATGCGCCCCACCTGACGTCCCACCACCACCACTACTACTACTTCCTCACCAAAACCCGACCAAAAGAAACAACGCGTAGCCAAGAAACGGCCCTATGGAAATAGCCCCACACACAGCAGGCGCAATGTTTCATCCCATTAAGGCCCGCGGCAATCTCCACCGGTCCATCGCGATAAGTAACGGCGCCCTCGATCGACGCAGCTGTATCACCTGCAACCAAAATCATGGACTGCGAGCATCAGGGGTGGCGTTGCAGTGGCGGGTCGGCGTGTGCTAGACGGTTTAGGATAATATCTGCGCGGGGTGGGTTGGGGGGTGGGGCGAGTGATGGCCCGTGACTTAAATTTGATTTCGAAAGATTTTCTTTTCTATTGGGGGGAGGGGAGGGATAGGGACTTTGGGATATTGTGCTTCTTGTTTGGCCCGGCGGGTGGGACGGATCATCTCTGGTGAGAGTGTGGGGTTTTTAAGTACTTATACAATCCCGTCCACTGCCGGGGGATTTTGTTAATACATGACACGTCTACCACCTACTTTACTACCATGTTAACAGATGACCCGACAACTTCGTTGAACGATCCCACCGTCCACCGCAAGTACCTATCCCGAAACCAAAATCGCGAGCGAAACTACGAACTAGGACTAGCAATACGCATCACTCACGACATACAGCACGGGGCTTTGTGATATATGCCACTCCATTTACCTCGTTAGAGGGCGGGGTTTAAACGTTTCGACGCAGGAGAAGGTAATTAATACCAGGATATGTATTAAAACTGCCTACATGTATAAAACAAGCATCCTACCCACCACACAAACACCCCCCCCCCCGCGGCCCCCCCGCTGCTGGATACGCGGCGGTCAGCACACCCTCCTGATGCGTTAAAACGCAATAGCCACGACTCCAGCTAGCGCCCTCCCACTACCCCCCCCCCTTCTACACAAAACACCCGCCCACCAACACCAGATCTCCGCCGCCATTCCCCCGACCCGAATACCAAGAGACAGCCCCCCTCCTCCACCAGAAACACATAGTCCGCCTCACCCCTACCCTTCGGGATGCCTGGCACGGTACAGCGCGCACGCCGGTACAACACCTCCCCGCGCGCAAGTCCAATCACCGCGGAAAATCGAAGCCTTAGTAGCAGCGGGGCATAGGATGTATGTGTTGCGCTCGCCGCCTCACGCGTTGGCGACGGTCGGACTGGCCGTGCTTAGCTAGGTTGGGGTGGGCGCCGCGCGGATCGCCTGGGCGGCGTGGGTGCTGGTGCCGCTGTCGCGGTGTGGTGTGGCGTGGTTGGATGGAGGAGTGATGTTGTGGCGTTGTCTTGGCCGTTGCGGGGGATTCGGGGGTTCGGGGGTGCGGGGGTGTGGTGTGGTGGGGTGACGCGGCGGGATGGCGATGGCGATGGTCGTAGTTGGCCGCGCGCCCACCGTCTAGCGCCTACCCCACCGCCGCGGAGGTCTGTTTGGCTTTCCGTTTCCGTGGTGCGTGGTGGTGGGCGGGGGCGGGCAGTTGCACGCGTTTATAACAGCGCCTGTGTCGTGTGTCTGCAGAGCTTTGAGCGGTGCGCTCGGAAGCTAGGCTCGCAGCGGAGTAACATCGATGTTCTGGGAGCGCGGTACTGTAGTGAGGGCTGTTGGACGGCGCCGTGCAGCCTTGGCGAAACTGTGTTCGGACACGGTTCAGCGGCTTCGTAGCTAGACCGGGTAAGCCATACCTGTCTCTTAGCGTAACCAGGCTTTGTCTTGTAGTCAATCGATCATCCTCTCAGCCTACCATAACCTATCAAGTCAAGGTCACGAACACGAACAGCCTGAAAACGGGTGTTAGCGTCGCGGATACCACACGCACGCGCTACGCGATATCCATCCAGCGGAGGGTGGGGAGGCGGATACTAACCGCACTGCTATCTAGTGTACCAACGTCGGCTATCAAGTCCCTTGTAAACGTAGCGGAGTTTTGCGCATCTTGAGCTTACAGTGCACGTACCCCGACATCATTGCTGGTCCTCGATGCGCTTATTGACCGTTTTCCGCCGCGGGCTTCCGGGGCGTCTCGTGCTGACCATGTCCGGACGAAGGTCGATCGCTGCGCTTTGGTTTTTGTATGTGGTCGCGGTGGTCATGGCGGTCATGGCTTGTGGCGCGAGGGAGTGATAGTCGTGGGAGAATAGGGGAGTTGGTGGAATGCCACGGGGGGTGTCCACGGTTCGGGGAGGAGTGGGTGGGATGCGGGTCTGCGTTGGTGGGGTTCGTTGGGCGGGACTGGTGTCTAGGAGTTAAATACTCGTCCTCAGGGGTTTGTTTGTAGAGTAACGAGGGGACTCGGGTGCTTGGAGTGCTTGGTGTGAGGTGCTGGTGTCGTGGGGGGGATGGATGAGAGGGGCGATGGTGGAGCGCCAAGCGTTTACTGTGCCAAGATGCTACCCGCTAACCGCCTGTAGCTAAGCGTATCATGCCGCCCTAGCCGGAGCGAGAGCACCGAGGCTTGGCGGCACGGGACCTGGATGGGCACTCAGTGAGCGAGGGACAGCAGACTCTTCCTATGAGCGTGGTAGGGGTACTTACTGCGAGTCATCAAAATAGCGGCCCCATTAAGACATCAATTCATGACCCCAAGCCCCCGCGCGCAAAATCAAGGTTAAATGGCCGAATGCTTGCCACATGAGTACCCGAAATCTTTTTTTGTTACGTCCTCTTATAGAAGAAGTAGGATTGAGCTCAAGTCCCTCAGCTCTATTAATCCATGCCTGCTCTCCATGCCTCCTCTGCAAATCAACTGAACTAACGCTAACCCTGTTCCGCATAGAGGTACATACTTATTTACCCACTTCGTCGTTTCCGAGCGCGACTGCTATTACAAGTCCACCTGTTCGCATGCCACACAATATTGGTCGTGTTCGTCCGGAAACGCGAGGGGAAATGAAAGTTGCGATCCGATTTTGGGAGGTTTCCAATCCGTATCCTTCGACTGTACCTGCATTTTCAACTTGGCCTGGGCCTCTGTTTTCGCGTTGGCTTATCTACATACCTACTTGTGTTTTTATTCTATTGAAGAGGGACGCGCCGTATGCGTTGTGTTCATAGCCAGTGAAAATCGTTAATTGCCGTTCATATACATGCAGGGTTCTGTGTGCCACAGGCAGGGTTCAGATTGGTTGTTGCATCAAGAGCTCGCCAACCTCTCGCGAGGATTTACTAGGTGGGAGATCCGATTCCCAGACCACTGTTGGTTTTGGTCGATAGTCAGCACACAGGACGGTGGTAGAACACTCGTCCCCGTTCCATTAAATACCCCCGTTGTCCATAGATATCCTCTTGGAACTTAAAGGATACCCACCGACTCTACCTAGGCGGAAACAAAATAAAGAATATGTATGTAGGATAACATCCTTGGCTCTCGGGGGTTGATTGTGCTACATGCAAGTAAACACACTCGCATCGGAACATGCAGTCCGCATTATGCGGCGATAGTCACGGCATGGCCAATTATATACCATGCCTAAGGACTGCACTGCGCACGAGTATGCGCACATTTGCACCCAATGGCTGGGATGCATCACGCCCAGAAAGTCAGAAATGGCTTACCTAGGACAGATGTTTGATGCGCTGTCCCTCTTGAGCTACCCTCTTCAGATTCTCTAACGTATTACACCCATAGCACAAAGTTTTGAACAGCATACTCTAGCACACATCTAACCAGCAATAAACCTACTCCTCTCGAAACGCTCACAAAGAAAAAGTCAATTCAAAAGACATCCCGACCGATGGGTTATATGCTCTAAGCCTAGCAGAACTTCTGGGGCGCAGGGGAACGGCACCGACAATGTTCGGGTATCCAAGCCGAACACGAGCTTGGGACGGAATACACAAAACACCGCCGTGAGGTATGGCAATGAGATGTAGTTCGCTGATATTTGGCAACTCTAACGCGGTATACTTCTATAGCACTGGCTACTCTCCCCATAATGTCATTCCCGACCAACCTTCGAAGAATCAATCCCCTCCCGCCGAAACCTCCATTACATCTTCGAAGTCCTCTACACCGCCGGTCGCTGATGGCGTCGTAAAGACTACTCCCCATCCGACAGATTCTGCGGCTCGCGACACGGTCTTTGAAACACGACCATTCGATACTCAGACCGAGAAGTGTTCTGGCCCGTGACGTGAACGCACCCTGCCCACTATCATAATGCGAAAAGGTCAGCCTTTATGAGGAACGTGTGGGCTATGGGCCGTCCATTTAGCTGAACATGCTTTACATAGGATGGCCTGTTCGTCAGTGGGGTGCGTTGATCAAGTAGGTAGCCTGCCAGACCATTATGCTCACAGGCCAATGTATGTAGCCCGCCAGACCATTATGCTCACGGGCCAAATGAGGAGCTAAGTATATTGACAGATAAATATTTGTTTAATTTAATAAATGGTACAGAATGATATGACGAATAAAGAATGCGGAATATTTTAAACTACTTATTCCTACTGCTGCGAGTTCTTCTGCTTGGCCCCTGATACTCCTGAACCGATGGGTTTGTCTCTCCCGTAGTAATGTGCCCATCTTTATCTATATATCCAAATACTAGCCTTCCATAGTCCATTGCCCGTGGGTCCTCCAGTATCACTCTCGCCTCAGATCTAGAAATCCCACAATCTTGCTGTATCATTGTTAAAATGAATTCGGGTGCAATTACCTCCATCAACAATTGAGTATATAATACATCGGGTGTCTCAATCTCTCTCATTCTCGACCGCAAAGCAAGGGTATTATTGGACACGAAGCTCTCCAATATCATTGGGCCGATATCTGCATGGGCTTGTGAGTAGTACCCAGAAGGAATATCATCCATCCAACGCCATGCTTCTTTATGTGCCCGTTCTCGTCCATGAGAGGTTTCTTCAAGTGCTCGTTGGAGAAAGGATGGATAGTAAAATGATCTGTTGTAGTTCTGGATGATAAAAATGATGCTTTTAATTGGTTCTGGAGTATCAATTCGTTTCTGCAGTTCATCTGGCTGGGCTCTCTGGCGCAACAGCTCTAATGATGGCCAGCCCTGAGATCGAGCTTTATCAAAAAGAGATTCTTGATTATTCTCATATTTGTCGATGATCGCTTGCAATCGAGAAGCAACTATTTTGCACCAATCAGATCAGTAATACCAAATGAGATTTGAATCAAACATACGAGAGGTTGTAGTATTCAGTTGACGCTGTACTGATTTCCCATTATCCGTGGGAGCGGTAACTCGAATATAATCCTCAGTAGCATCGGTTGGAGGCACTGAGGGTGTAGGTATCAGTATCTGACATTGGAAAACATATACATGTACGTACCATTTTCCGTTGCTTCCATATTATCGTTATCTCCGTCCACTATTGGTACCTCCGAACTATCACTTCCCTCCACAGTCTCTTTATTTTGACAACCCGGTTCTTTACCTTTCATGCTTTTTGTATGACAACGGGAGGTACAGACATTTCCGGCTTTGAAACAAGAGCATCGCGTTGATTGACAAGACGATTTGCAATAGCAGAAGGTAATCGACTACACAATTATTAGTAAGGATATATTATGATATATAGAGGATATTTCTTACTGGACCATGGTTACCTTCGTTCTCTATCTTTGATGCTGATCTCACCGTGATTGGTTTAGACCTGCATTGTCCAGCTTCAGGAAATGAGATCAAATCGGAAATAATTTCCATCTCATAAGGGACACAAGATCTGTTTATAACCCCATATTTCGACTGTAATGTAAAATGCCCAGGGGATTTCTCCGCGATAATCCTACATATCAACCGTTTCATACTGACTGTTGGCCTATCAGGCTTTGGAATTTTAAGTGTAACGAGTGATCCAACAACAAAATTCGGAAATTTGTTTGACCTCCGTTCTCTTGCCACCATAAGGTCCCTATATCTTCTGGCGCTTCTCTGAACAGTGATACGGAGACGTTCTCGGAATACGGTACTATTCTGTTGTGGTAGTTCTGGAGGGCTAGATGGAACCTCAACAACCTGTTGACTCGATTGAGCTGCAGATTGAGAGTGATCCCGACAACTCGGGTCATCAATGGCTAATAGAGCAGGGTCGATAGGTACTTCCTCCTCCTATTCATTGCCGGTGTTTTGTGATTCATCTGATTCGGACTCAAGGTCATCAACGTTGATAGCCAACTCAACACTGTTTGCTCTTGGTGCTATGTCCACTTCTGTGTCTTCCGTTTGGCTCTGCGTGTTTGATGGCTCAAACAGAAATGCACTTTGGGGAGGTGCTTCGTCAATGACCGTGACGGTGTCTCGTTCAGTGAATATAGTTCGTTGAGTAAACGGTCGTTGCCCAAACAAAACCTCGTAGGGTGTCCTCCCTGTTGCAGTGTAACGTTGTGAATTCATACTCAAAATGGACTCGTCAATGCCTTGCGTCCAATCAGCCCTTTGATGATCACGCATCCAAGCTGCCAACTTCTCCTTCAAAATACCATTTGCTTGCTCGATTAGCCCTTGGCTTTGTGGGTGACGGGCACGCCCATGAATAATCTAGAAATAGTTAGCATCAATCAATTACTGAAACCGATAAGCTTACCTTCACACCAAGATCCTTCATCAATATAAAGAGAGCACCTTTAAACTCTCCATCATTATCACATTGCAGAATATATGCTGCACCAAAGTGCATTACTCAAAGCTTCACCACCTCCGCTACGCCATCACTGTGCTTGCTCTGTAACGGGTAGGCCTGTGAATACTTGCTAAAGTGGTCTCTCATATGACATATCTATTTGTATCGACCATCAGGACGAGAGCTGAAGTCAATCAAATCCACCTGAACCCTTTCGAATATCTTGCTAGCCACAATCGGTTTCAACGGAGCTGTCTTTGTCTGTATTTTTTTGACGGCACAAGTAGAGCAATGGCCCAAGAGCCATTCAATCTCCACCCGTGATATAAAGTGGTAGGTAGAATTCAACTCGTCTCATGTTTTCCGCTGACCACTGTGACCTAGATTAAGATGAGCGGCTACAATCAAATCAAATACTTCTAAGTCCGTAACAACTAGCTTGGAAGGTATGTCATTCTTTTCCTTGTAGTTCAATTTTCCATCAACAAGTTCGAACCGGGCCCTGAAATCGAATTTCTGCCTCCATGCCTTGCTACCTTTCTCGGGCCAAACATCAAGTAGAATCTCTGTGTAGAGAAGCACTTTGTCTGGTGTTAGACGAAAGTGGTTTTTGTTGTCAGGTCCAGAGAGTCTTTGAAACCAAGCAGTACGAGAGGCATCAGAAAATGGTAAAGTCAGGGAGCGAGAAGAAGAAGCCATAATGAATGAAATATGAGAGATATGCAGAACCTAACCTGAATATCACACCAGCGGATGGGTAACCGTCCTTATGTAGCTCAGCAGAGCAAGCTCTGGCATCAAGCAATTCTTGAGCGAAGAAGCAAAGTCACAGCTGGTATTACAGCTATACTGGAGTGCCCATATTTCAATTGAGCTTCTCTGCCGTACAGAGATACTGATGACACAGCTGTGAGTATGGTAGAGCTTCAGTGGGGAATCCATGCGCTTGGGAAGCTTCTGTGGGTGTGGTACAGCTCCAGTGGTGAGTCAAAGTGCTGAGGAAGCTCCTGTGGGTGTTGTGGAGGTTCTGTGGGTGTGGTACAGCTCCAGTGACGAGTGAAAGCACTGGAGAAGCTCCTGTGGGTGTGGTACAGCTCCAGTAGCGGGTCAGAGCGCTGGGGAAGCCCCTGTGGGTGTGGTACACCTTCCGTGGCGGGTCAGAGTTGTGTGGAAGCTCTTGTGGGTATGGTACAGCTCCAGTGGCGAGTCAGAGTGCTGGAGAAGTTCCTGTGGGTGTTGTACAGCTCCAGTGGCGGTTCAGAGCGCTGGAGAAGCTCCTGTGGGTGTGGTACAACTCCAGTGGCGAGTCAGAGTGTTTGGGAAGCTCCTGTGGATATGGTGGAGCTTCTATGAGTGTGGTATAGCTCCAGTTGCGAGTCAAGGCACAGGGGAAGCTCCTGTGGGTGTGGTAGAGCTCGGGTGGTAAATACAGCTATTGTAAAAGCTCCTGTTGGTGTGGTAGAGCTCTAGTGGTAAATACAGGCATTGGAGAAGCTCCTGTTGGTGTGGTAGAGCTCGTATGGGTGTGATAGAGCTCGAGTGGTGACTCAAGGTATTGGGGATGCTCCTATGGGTGTGGTACAGCTGCAGCATCATATACAGGTGCTGAGGAAGCTCCTGTGGGTTTGGTAGTGCTCCAGTGGCGAATCCAGACCCTCAAGAAGCTGCTGTGGGTATGGTACAGCTGCAGCAGTGCATATAGGCACCAGGGAAGTTGTTGTGGGTGTTGTAGAGCTCCAGTGGCGATTACAGATGCTGGGTAAGCTGCTGTGGGTGTGGTAGAGCTCCAGTGGCGAGTACATGTACTGAGGAGCTCCTGTGGATATGGTAGAGCATCAGGAATGGGTACAGGTGTTGGGAAAGCTCCTACAAGTGTGGGGAAACAACTGTCAGTTTCGTCGAGCTCGAGTGGCAAATACAGGCACTGGGGAGCTCCCTTGGGTGTGATAGAGCTCCAGTGGCAGATTGAGATGCTGAGAAAGCTGCTGGGAGTGTGGTACAGCTGCAGCAATGCACACAGGAGCTGGAGAAGTTGCTCTGGATGTGGCAGTGCTCTAGTGGTAGATACAGATGCCAGGGAAGCTCCGGCAGGTTCGATAGAGCTCCAGTAGTGAGCACAGATGCTGAGGAAGCTACTGTAGGTGCGGTGTGACACCAAGGGTGGGTAGAGGTGCTAGGGAACCGCTGTGGCTGTTGTAGAGCTCTAGTGGCGAATACAGGCACTAGAGAGATCCAGGGGTGAACACCTATGCTGAAGTGCTCCTGTGAGTGTGGTACTGCTACAGTGTTATAGTGCACTATTGGTTTGTAGAAAAAAACTGCATTGACTTATGCTAGCTGGTTATCTTCAGGTTTTACTCATGTAGAATGTGGGATAGCATTAGATAAACAGCTGGAGTCTTACGCCCTTACCTTCAGAGGAATAAATTCATGGTACAGTAAGTCGGACAACCCTCTTCCTCAGTTGGCATGGAATCTATCCATTCTTTGTAGACAATATGATGCACCTGTGAGGCCCTCAATTATATATCGTAGTGCCTAAAACCCATTACAGGTCGGAGTTGAACCCCAGACACTCCGACATATGTCAGATGTTTATACTACTACACTATAGTAGTAACTGCATGCTAGCGTAATTCTCTATCCCTAAATAAATCCTATGTACCCTGCAAACCTTATTGTCGGCTTGCGTCATCAACGGGTACTGAAGATCAGTATGGGTAGCCATTTCAGTGAACACCACCATGGGTAGCCATCCTGGTGAACACACCCCGTCCAGCGGTGGGTTAGCCCATATGGAGAACGTTCATATTATGGGGCCGTACATGCTATCGGCCAGAACATGTATCGGACCCCGTCCAATCTCTTCCTGTCGAACCTATAACCGCTCATCAGGTATGCACTCACGAGTCACGAACCTTACTCGTCGGATTACCTCTTCAGCAAGACACTAACCTGTGACCATTTATAGTAATTTCTCCTTACCTACATTTCACCCTTTTCTTAGTAGGAACTGTGGATAGGGCTCTCCCACCAGCAAGGTTGGAAGAGATCGATAATCCATCAGAAAATATAAAGCTACTAAGATTGGTAGCTTGGTTCTTTAAGGACGATAATGTGGTCTGCTTTTCCTTCTTCTAATTGTTGACATGTTTGTATCGCCTCTCGCCATTGTGTTTATGGATATATTTCATGGCGATTAGTTTGTACGTTCTCTAGTCTTGTTTCGTTCGTTCGTTGTTTTACGTGTATGGTTATCTTCATTCATTTTTTCCACGTTCAGTTTTATCATTTAATCGATCTACCACTCCATGTTACAGCAAGACCTCATCTTTTCAGGACCGGGTGGTTGGCAATTTGACAGCCCACCCGGAAGGAGTTGGGATATCGTACAAGCAGTCATATTGAATTGAACGATCGCTCGCATCACCACCGTCTACCTCCATCGCCGAAAGCATGGCGCGTGTAATGCTATTACATTCTCCCATCTGCCTTAACCTAAAAGCAGTTCCCCGTTCTCTCCGACCTCGTTTCCATGAGCGGGTCTAGTTGTAGAAAACCAGCAAAGTTCAAAGAGCGAACGCATGCCCCCTCTCAGCGCTCTTCCGCGCCAGTTGAGTTAGAGTTAGTTAGGGGTATGAGTGTCCGGTTAGTTCCGGTGCAAAATAGTACACTTACTCGACAGGAATGAAAGATCCCGGGCTCGCGGAAGTTGTGTTGATAGGTACGAGTATGCGATAGTAAGAAGTGAATGTCGGTATCGTGCAATGACGGGAACGAGTTGTCATCGGTCTTCGGGCATAGTGCAGTGGATGACGCGTACGCGGCTAGCTACCGCCCAGAGTACTTGTGGAGTACTTTCTTCATTGTAGCACAGAATTTGACCCACCATCATCGATCACCTCCCAAGTGCACAAACGACACAGGCATACACACGGCACTACCACCCCCCCCCCCCCCCCTTGCACACCTCTCCCAGCCTCCGCGTAGCACATTTTCAACAGCGAAACTCGCCCTCACCATACCCCATGCCACCTCCGGGCGATGAATTATAACAGTAAACTAATTCTCCCCCGCCACCGCACAACAGATGCACTGCCGCGCATTTCCCGTCGTCTAGCTTTGCCCTGCTCTCTTAGGTGCGGGGGTGAGGTACGGAATTCTCCTGTGGATACTGCCCACCCCGAGCTGGAAGTCGGCGCTTCCCAGGCTTCTTCATGGGCCTACACCTACGCTTATACGGGCTGGACCGGTCGGCGGGGTGCGGTGGTGAAGCGTTCTATGTATGGGGGTGTGGGATGCGAAGCGTTCTATGTACGGGTGTGACATGCGGTGGAATTATAGTCGCAGAATGTGCAAATTCCCGCTGCAAACAGTCATATTCTGTCGCCTCGGAGGCCGTCTACTACCACACACAGAGCTCCGCGAATTTATTATCGAAAGCTATATCCACCCGAAATTCGAAAGCGGGGTGCTCGCACCGCTATAAGTCCAATTCCGCAACGGACACATTTCTACACACCAGAAATCCGGCTATCGAATGTAGATATGCTGTGCTCCGGTGCGGAGGCGTCAGCATGCCGCTGTACAATAATTACCCACACTCCGTACGTCTTCCTATTCTTGAGCGCGTTGTGGTTTGGCGGGCATGGTCGCATTCGTGTAGTCGCGATGGGAGAGCTACGTAACGCACCGGGAATGAGACGATAAGGGATTTGCATTACGGGGACAGCTCTTGCTTCCCAGGTGGATTTTCCCGTGATCTGTGTTTTCAGATTCAGGTTTGTACTACGGCAGGGTGTTGCTGGGTCTTTTTTCTCTTTGGGGGGGTTGTGCGTCTGGGCGTATCTTCGGGGGCAGAGGTTATGTTTTCACATTGGGGATTAAAGGTCAAGCACCTGGTAGTCAGCTTAGCTGTAAAAAGAAAAGGTGTTGACAGCGATCCATCATCCCGCGCAGCAATTCTCTCCGCATCATCTCACCACCCGACAGCCGCTTCTGTAGCCGCGCGACCACAGCGTATACCGGCATACATGTCTCAGAGCTAGTGCTCCTAGAACTAACGCATGCGCTTACGCAGATCCGGAGGATCCGGGCAGTCCCGAACAGACACCGTGGAACCTACCACGATTCCGCAGAGCTCGCTGTGCGTGTTGTCCACTCGCGCCTCACTGGGATGTGGCTTTGGGGTGCAGAATTTGATGTAGAAGTTCCGCGGAACGATATAGAATTGGTGCTTTTTGGACGGCCTGTGGGTGTGCTAAAGAGGGTTGTACTTTAAAAATGCTACGAGTATCAGTCTATCATCCCACCACTAGCGAAGCCCGCGCCAACACCTGATCGGCCGTTACGCACGATACTCCGGGCATTACCGCACGGCGCACAGACTAACCTCGCCGCCCGTACCCAGCAGCACACCCCTGCCGTTGCGACGCAAGGAGAACGGGCAGGGTCCTTCGAAAGCTTATTTCAACACCGACGACAGGGATGCCACACCCGGCAGCGGATCTGCGTTTTGCAGATCGGCTCGGTTCGGAACGTGGGTGCTGGGATGGAGGGGTGGGCCCTGGCTGTGTAACGCGGAAGAAGCCGTGGTTGCGCGGGCTAGTGGGCTTGTGGGTTAGTGCGGGGTGAGTAATGTGGAGCTTGCGCTCGCTCAGGGGGAATTTAGATGTAATAGACTCGAATTATAGAATTTCTTCGAGTCTAGAGCCTTAGAGAGGGCAAGAGAAGAGGAGTCCCTCCTTCCTTTCCTCCCGAGTTATCCTTCTCGCTTAGAGCCACCTAATTGTACAGAGCGTCGTCATCCCATCCCCAAGATACGTTGCTATCACCTCCTCCTCCACTGTGTTCTTTTCCACGTCTCTTCTTCTCCCACACGACAACAACGACGCGACGCGACCTGTTTGTCGCGACCTGACAGATATCAACCTACGTTTCATCCATGTATCTAGACTTGGAATATACATTCCTGCTCTCAAGTAGCATTCCCAGCCCGCGCCTGGCCTGCAGTCGTTACAGTCTCTACCCCACCTCTTCCAGAGCTCGCTAACATCGCTTACTAGCGCGACGCTTCCATCAATCAAGACTTTCCAACCCCCCGCCGGCGAGCATGGGCGCTTTACCAGGGCGCTTGGGTACGGGCAACGAATGGGTGGGAGTTGCAGACGGTGATTCGGCAGGTGGTAACACTAGGTCTACGGTCTACAACCTTGATCGGAAGTCGGGTGTGATAGCACGCACCACGACGGCAACGCAACGCCGTTCATACTGCTTAGAGAGGGTACTGGCGCTACAGCTATAATCCTGATCTACTACTGCCACCGCGGACACGCGAAATTCCACATTTTCCCACCTTTCCGGGGGTGTCACTATACTGCTACAGCATCTCGAGCTCGTATTTCGGAAGCGGACGTCAGGAAGAGAAAGACAGCTTGTACCACCTCATTCTACGCAGAAATCTGGTATCCGCGCTGTCGCTGCTGGCTCTCTATATTGCCGAGTCTGCAGAGCGTGATAACGGGATTATGGGGGTGCCAGTATCTGGACGGCTTGGTGATCATTGTGCGGCGCTGACATCGGCGGAACCATTGAGAGTGGTTTCTGGAACCGAACGTCATGCTACGTACGTTCTAGCTATATTATGGCAGTACCGACCTCCGACAAAACCCAACCGCAAGCCGCCGAGATCCAAAGACGACCCCGAACTTTACAGCAACAGGAATCAATCATCCTACTCCCCCTACCCATTCCGCTCCAAAACCTCGATTTCGGCGAAAAGCAACGCCCCCAACGCCGCCCACCGCGCCCCCCGACGCAACCCACAACCAAAAATACATAACACACACCCCGCTCCTCCACCTCGTCTATCCTTTTCCAAACGCGCCACGCAGAATACAGTTTACTCGTAACGCCAATCCTTTCCTCTTTCTCCCATGGTGAGAGTGCGTAGGTCTACGTTGGTTTCCCTGCGGTACAATTTTTCTGGTGCGAGGTGCCTAATTTATCCGATTTGGGAGTGTAGTAATGGGCCTAGTAAGGTAAAGTCGTACTCTTTTGCTCTTTTGCAGTAATTTACCGGAAAGATAAGATGTAGGGGGTGGTTTTTTGCTCTTTAGTGGTAATTGAACGGAAATATAAGATATAGAGCTCTACTACGAGGATTAATGAATCAGGGAAAGTCGTATTTTTTTTTAATCGCCGTAATGTGTATGTAAAATACAGTCCTCAAATAACTCACAATTTCGAAAGCATCAGGGAATGAATCGGGGAACGAATCGGGGAATAAGCTTTTTATGCATCAGGCAATGTGTGAGGGAATGTATGAAGGAATGCATGAGTAAATGAATCGGGGAACGAATCAAGAGGTGCAAAGGCATCGCAAAATGAATCGTGTTTATTGAGAAAAGAAAAATTGAAGTCACCGAGAGTTGAACCTATGACTTATAGGATGCTACTCCATTCTTTACCAGCTAAGCTACTGATAATATTTTTTCCCTCCTCATTCTGTGCTTGCAAACTGTACCTAAAATCAAAATTCGGTTTATTTTGTAGAATAATGTGTTCTGCAAATTGCATCCTATATTGTATTAAAAGTCGTAGCTGGTAATAGTGTATGCAATTGGATCAATTGATTCATTTACAACAAGCCTCGACCGTAATTGCATCAATTTATTCAGGTATTGATAGTAATTGCATCAATTGATTCATTTGCAACAGGCCTCGACGGTAATTGCATCAATCGGTGCCCTTTACACGCCAGGTTGTGTGGGCAATGTGCTTATTGATGCATTAACTCCCGTAGTAGAGGAGGTTGGTCTTTCCCTATTGGGGGTAAATAAGGTTCAGCCTGCTCTTTTGGGCCTTAGCGAATTTTCTTCTCAAAGTATCCTGCTAGTCTTTGGGGGGTCATCGAGGGGGAAGGATAAACTACCCTTTCCCTGCCACTACCCTATATCATATACTGATAGAACACATACCTAGTATCTTCCCCCATAGCCTAGATGGTACAGCTTCTATTGTACATCCAGAATGATGCAGGTTCAACCCCTGGTTATTCCTGCACTATATTCTTTTAATAGAGTACATAGATGATACACCACCTTGATCAGCTAGTTCATCCAATCAGATCTACTATTGTGTTGGATTTCATCCTTAAATGCTTCTAAAAGGACACTGTGGGCGGATATTCTCGTCCCCCCATATAACAGGTAGTTTACCATTTCGGAATTGTAGCCTAGGGGTTTCAGGGTTAAGGTTACTCGAGGTTTCTCAACCCGTTTTTAATTGTAAACTATCGAGTTCCGATGAATGTAAAATTATATTAAGGGTCATCGTATGAATCTGCGCTCAGGTCCGTCACCCAAGGCACTATTCTTTGTTCCATCCTCTATAATAGGCTTTGGAATCATTGAGTGCGGGCTAGACAGGGTTAGGGTTCGTTACCAAGGCTTTATGGCAAACACCAGAAAGCGGGGAAGGCTCGTCTCACCGCAATATCGACTCTGCCATCTTTCGCTATATACTATGGATGTGGCATCAGCAATAGTAGGCCTACTCGGCGTGGGCGCTCAGGTCTACAGCACCCTGAACACGTTCGTCTCTACATGCCAGGATGCCCCATTTATCGCTCATACTACACGGGACGAAGTTCGTGACTTCCATTACGCTCTTGACAGGCTCAGACATTATGTATGGCAAAGAGAGCAGATAACCCCATTAGGAAGAGCGACGACCGACACGACCCAACTTAGACTTACCGTGGCATCCTCTATGGCTACATTTAACCAAGTAGAGAAGATTCTGAATCGATTATTGGTACAATCAAAGATGGACTACATACAGCGCATCCGATGGGCGTTGTCCGATGGTGACCTCGCTAAACTCCTTACGCGCATTCAGCAGCATAAAGTGACACTAATTCTTCTCCTCACAATATGGTCGAGGTTTGTGATACATGCAGTCCCCTTTGTTTTACCATCCCTACTGTATTGCGATCTAGGCTTACGGAATATAGCGACTCATCTGCGCAAGCTGAGGCCTCGAATGACCTCTTAAATGACACCTTAACACGTCTTCTGGATCGGGGGTATCGGGGCCCATCGCAACCCCCCGATCTATCAATCTATAATAACGTTTTATACGGCAACGCCTCTGGAAATATTTCCCACACATCAATCTCAGGCTCCAATATGGCAGTTGGAGATGCTAGGTCCCTGATGACTGTTGGTAGGACCGTTAGCCTTCGGTCGGTGAATTCTTTGACATCAAAACTGCGAAACACCAGACCATACGCCAGTATCAAAGCTTTCGATAGTTCGGCCCAGTCTGTACTTACATCCGAACGGGCAACTCCATGGTCCGAATTTACAATTGGGTCCAATGCGTCGGTATTTGCTTTACCATTTACCGCTAGCTGGTTAGACCTAGATACAAAGAAGATTTCTGAGGTGAAAGAATTACCTCGGGTATTCTTGCCGATAGATGGGATGACATTTTACAACGACTGGCGATACCCGGAAATCAATAGCTCATTAGAATTCCCGACGGGAGGTCTATGCATCCTTCTATCGATTTTCGGGCTTAAAGCCAAAAATCCGAGAACTGGGACGAACGAATCCGGACATCCACCGACCGCCTCGAAATACAAAATATCACCATCGCTTCCCCGAAGCCTGAGCCAGGACCTTGCTCGCCATGTCAGCGGTGGTGGAGAACTTTCAACCTTTCTAAATGCAAAGCTACTGTCAGGCATCACTCAGAACGATTTACAGTCGATAGACCTACTCTTGTCTTGGAGTTCTCAAAAACGATTTGGCCCTTCTATTGGAGATGAGTTAGCGGATGCATTTAGAGAGGTAGTCTACAACGGAAATATACCTATGGCTGAGCTATTCGTAGACTGGGGAGCGTGCATTGAGGTCCTTCACAGAGAACCAGACCACAGGATCTTTGAGTTTGCGCTCAAATCGCCTCAGCTCGATCTTATCGAACTGTTCCTTATCCACGGAGTAGACGGTGAGAAGGGCTATGGGAACCCGCCCTGTACACCACTGCAGGGGGCCGCTATCGATGCACGTCATGGCCTTGCGAAGTTGCTCCTGGATAGGGGCGTGAACATTGAAGGAAGCTGCGAGGAGGAGCATAGGACACCGCTAGAATTAGCCATCGAAGCTGGTAACTACGAGATGATCACTTTGCTCCTCGACCGTGGAGCAAACCCTGAGAAGGCCGGCCACGGTATTCCACCATGTACACCATTGCAAGCAGCGGCGATGGGGCGGGTCGGTTACTCTATTGACCTTGCTAAATTTCTCCTAGACCGGGGTGTGAGTATCGAAGGGAGTTCAGAGGAGGATCGGAGGACACCCCTAGAAATAGCCCTCGACAGTGGAAATTACGATATGATCATTGTGCTTCTCGGCCGTGGAGCAAACACTCAGAGGGCTGGCTACGAGGAGCCGTCCTATAGCCCATTGCAAGTAGCGACTATGTCACGATTCGATAAATGCCTTGGCTTTGCGCAGTTACTCCTTGATAGGGGCGTGAACGTCGAAGAGTGCTGTCAGGAGGAGCGTAGAACACCTCTAGAATTAGCCATCGAAGCTGGTAACTACGAGATGATCACTTTGCTCCTCGACCGTGGAGCAAACGCTGAGAAGGCTGGTCATGGTATTCCACCATGTACACCTTTACAGACAGCGGCGATGGGGCGATACCCTCATCGCCCTGAGCTTGCACAGTTTCTTTTGGGGCGAGGGGTGAATATAGAAGGTAACTGCAAGGAAGAGCCTAAGAAACCTCTAGAACTAGCAATCGAGGCTGGCGACTACAGGATGACCAGGGTGCTACTCGACCATGGAGCGAATCCCGAGAAGGGTTACGGCAAGCCACCACTGACACCATTACAAGCAGCGGCCCTGGGGCGATACCCTCATCGCCCTGAGCTTGCACAGTTTCTTTTGGGGCGAGGGGTGAATATAGAAGGTAACTGCAAGGAAGAGCCTAAGAAACCTCTAGAACTAGCAATCGAGGCTGGCGACTACAGGATGACCAGGGTGCTACTCGACCATGGAGCGAATCCCGAGAAGGGTTACGGCAAGCCACCACTGACACCATTACAAGCAGCCGCCCTGGGGCGATACCCTCATCGCCCTGAGCTTGCACAGTTTCTTTTGGGGCGAGGGGTGAATATAGAGGGGAACTGCAAAGAAGAGCGTAAGAAACCTCTAGAACTAGCAATCGAGGCTGGCAACTATAAGATGCTCAGCGTGCTGCTCGACCATGGAGCAAACCCTGACAAGGGCTACGGCAACCCGCGCTGTACACCATTGCAGAAAGCCGCTATTGGACTCCACGATGATCCCCTTACCTTTGCGCGGTTTCTTTTGGACCGGAGAGTCAATATTGAAGGGAGTTGCAAGGAGGAATCTAAGACTCCACTACAATTAGCCATTCTGTATGGTAGTAGCGAGATGATCTCGATGCTGCTCGATCGTGGAGCAAACCCTGACAAGGGCTATCCATACACAGCACTACAGGCAGCCGCTACGGGAACAATCGATAATTCTTTGCACATTGCGCAGCTGCTGTTGGCTGGGAGGGCGAATATTGAGAGTCATACAGCCAAGGAGCCTAGGACACCCTTACAAATTTCAATCGACAATAAAGACCACGCAATGATCGACCTTTTCCTTGCGTGCGGAGCAGATATCAATAAGTACTACGGGCAGCCGATAGGTACCGCCTTGCAAAAAGCGATTGACAAGGAAGACCACCCTATGATCCAGAGACTCCTAGAACATGGAGCGAATACCGAGAAGGGATACGGTAATCCTAAACGCACACCTCTACAGGCAATTGCCAAGATGCAACGTCCCAGTTTCGTACCCATTGCAAGGATGCTGGTAAATTGGGGAGCTGTCATCGATGGACGCACCGACAATATGCCTAGAACACCCTTGGAACTAGCCATCGAAATGAGAAATGTGCCGATTGCTCTGTTTCTTATCCACGCAGGGGCAAAGGTTGAAGGGTATCACGATACATCGTCTATGGTACCCATGCAGCTCGCTGCAAAATACGGAGATGGAAAGATTGTTACAAAGCTTCTAGACCAGGGCGCAAACATCGACAGATGTACCAAGCAGGTACCTAGCACACCATTACAGATTGCAGTTCAGATGGAGAGTGAGGAAGTGGTCCGTGTTTTAACACGTCGGGGAGCAAATGTAGAATCGCGCTGTGAAGGCAGTCCGAAAACAGCATTGCAGATTGCGGTTGAAATGAAATCGAAGAACATTGTTCGGATTCTTTTGAAGGCAGGAGCAAAACAGCAGGGTTGTACTCGAGAATATATGTGTCCCATACACATGGCGCTAGTTGCCGGGTCAGAGGAGCTTCTGGAGATACTTTCAGCTAAAGGCGTTAATCCTGCGGTGGTGTGTGATCAATATCTGACCGATCATTACGCGGTGTACTTGGTTGATTAAAGCAGTTTGACATGTGTATTACAAGTCTGGAAGGATATTTCTGTTTATTTTTCGCAAATGATGCTTCGCGCGGGGCATGGGCTAGGAATCGTTCGTGGGCCACTTCCCTGAAATGCTGTGTATGAGAGCTTGGTCAATGAATTATTAATTTCCTACTCCATTGATCGACCAGGTCATACCCTGTTAGCTCTTCTGCTTCATTGTTAATAAACCTCTCTTATCCGTTAGCCTTTACGGACGGGATGGACGGTCGACTAACGGGTATAACTAACCTACAGCTACAGTTAGTATATATATTGTAGCAGTCCGCGAACACCGGCAATCGACGAACAAAACTAAATTATTCGTCGAATTCCTAGGCAAGTGACGGACAAATCCTATACCGTACTCTGATATTAATATCCCTAGGCTGTTGTTCTGTCCCATTCGCAGATTCTACCATTCCCCGGACGTCCATTGATTGGGTATCTGATCTGATGGACACTTTGGATATTCCGGATGTCCTGTGGATGGGCATCCCATTCATTGGACCTTTGTGTAATTGTGGAATCTATGCCACCGGACCTGATGAAATACATGCTCACACGGTGGAAAGGCCCAGCGCACATGTCGGGATAAAGTGTTTATGTCTGACAGGAGCTGGTTAGCATCGAAAAAGTCGATTGATATCGGAAGGAAGGGAGGAGATTGAGATGGCAGTTTGTGAGGAGTTCCGGGCATGATCATCAGTAATTCAGATAGAAATCTGCAATTAGTAGGTTACCGCGACTTGCGATAAGGAAAAATATAACGATTAAGTACCACCAGAGTTTAAGTAGAAACATCTGCCTTATTCCGTCGGCCCATCAAGAACTCGACTTCAAAGTTCAAACCTCCCTTCATTTTTAATCTCACAGAATGAGAAGACTATATGAGTATATATTGGCACTTACCCTTCACCACATCGACAATTTGTCAAGGGCTGTCGCTGTTCTTGTTTTCTTATACGCGCACGCGATAGTAAAATGTCCGGTGAATAGGTAGCGCCGGCGAATGGGACAGAACATCCACGACTGGATCATACCAGTCGTGAATGGCATGATTTGCTGGTTGGTATACGCTAATTGTACCAGTCAAGGACGTCCGCAGGCATACAGAGAAAATATGTTAATTGTGTTAGCTTCTACCCACCACGACCCTTCAGAAAATAACATTGACACATGCTGTGGTCGCTCCGAGAGAAAAATCTTTTTCCAAAGCTCAGAGAAATCACGCTATGAAAATGAAGTTTCGAATTTTTAGTTTACTGTACAGTAATACTAGTAGTGGCCCACCTCGCGACCGCGAGGTCTCCTTCCACCTGAGAATCTCTCCCACCTCTATGCTATGTAGTTGCCCGTAGCCAGTTGTCCATGGCCAGCTCCAGTAGTAGTTCGCAATGGCAAGCTCCAGGAGTTGACCATGGCTCATTGCCAGTTCTCCCAGTTAGCCATATTGCCAGCTCCAGAGCCAGCTCCACATATGTGGTAGACCATTTAAACTTGGAATATCAGTCCTCTTAGTTAATATAAGTGATTACCGGCCTTCGGCCGGGTACTATGGCTATGTGTGTGAATTCAAAAAGTCAATTGATGTTGTTAGTGGAAGCAGGCCTTCCAATGGGCCGTATCTTAATTGGCATGCTCGGGCTCCTAATAGGCTTGCCCGGGCTCTTAACGGGCTGGGCTTTTGCTAAATAGGCCGGGCTGAGCTGTATTGGGTGTTTCCCAATCCAGGTTGGCCCATTGGAAGTCCTGAGTGACGAAGCCTCTGTGAGGCTTCTTCTCGCAAAGTACTCAAATACGTGTACTGTACAGCTTTTCTCTAAGAATATGACAATTTGGCAAATTAGAATTGAAATATATCCTTATAGACCATATGAGTTTTTTCCGGCTGTAACGGAGCCATTTCAACTGTCTGGTGTATGAGTACACACAGGGCCCGGTTACATGCTGAAATTTATTGTTAGAAGCCAGGTGCACAGTGACATGGAAGTACCGGCAGTGTGGTTAGCTACCAGCTGTTTGAGTAACTACATTCTGAGCATTAGTGAGAGGATCTATTCATGGGAGCAATGGCTGACGATTCTATGCCTCGCCAATGACTAGAGGACTGGCCAGAGTGAAGCTCTGAATCCCCGGTGATCCTCTACATTCTCCAGAGGTCCCAGTAATCGGGACTGGTTCAAATTTTGCCTCGGACTGGACTGGACTGTAACGGGGGTCTCTTCTAAGAGAAATAGAATAGGGTAGAATAGAGACGGCCGTGCAAGATAGACAATCAGGTTGCAGATTATTCAAAGATACTATCGCTAGAACTCAAGAATCTTTAAGGGCTCTGCTACCGATAAGAACTTGACTTTCTTTCTAATGAAGACTCGAGAGAACAGGACTGAAGGGCGAGAATGAACCTGAGTACTTATACTCCGAAGGCTTCTATTCTCTGCTCCTAACTCCTTACTAAGTTCCGGTGATGCCTTTCCTCGGTCCGGGAAACAATACCACCGCTACCCCGTTTTTCTCTAAACGTCAGTGGGTGTTTCCGGTACCAAAGGGAACTACCCTTAGTCAAAGCCTTTGTAACACCTGCAGCCTTGGTTGCCACACAACCGGGGCCTGCATGAATGAGCTGCCGCTCAGGTGTAAGCTTAATCATTGCTGTAGAGCTTTCGCTTATTGTAAACTTCCCGGGCATAGTCCCTGCCACTATTGGCGGTCCTGCAATGCTCAGAGGATACAGAGAATCGCCGGGCAATCAGAGCTTCACTCCGGCCGGCCTTCTAGTTACTGGCGAGACATAGACTCGTCAGTCATTGCTCCCATAAATAGATCCCCTTCCTAGTGCCCAGAATGTAGTTACTCTAACAGCTGGTAGCTAACCACACTGCCGGCACTTTCATATCACTGTGCGATTGGCTTCTAACAATAACTCTCAGCATGTAACCGGGCCCTGTGTGTACTCATACACCAAACAGTTGAAATGGCTCCGTTACATGGACCAACTATCATCACGCTCGGACTGGAATAGCTGGACTATTTAAGCTTCAGACTGGTCCAACCACCAAGTTATACAGTCCATAATATTTCTGCCAACTATCGCATCATTCACCAAAAACCAGTTCTTTGGTATGGAAATCCTGTACCATAATATTCTCATATTAGTTTTATCGTAAAGATTGAGACATTTTGGAGCCTGTGAGGGATGTGAGGGGTGGTGTTGTGTAAAATTGATTCGGAGTTAATGAGGAGTAAAGCCATAAAACGCCAAAATAAGGAATATCAAAATAGGTAGTGGGACTAGTCTGATTCAAAATATGGACTGGACTGGACCATTAACAGAATAGCTTCAACTGGACTGGACTGACTATTTTTGGACCAGTCCGACTGTTTAACACCGTGGACTTTTGAAACCTCTAACATCCTCTGAGTATGCAGGTCCAACGGTAATGGCAGGGGCTATGCCGGGGAAGTCTACAATAAGCAGAAACTCAACAGTAATGATTAAGCTTATACCTGATCGGCAGCTCATTCATGCAGGCTCCGGTTGTGTGGCAACCAAGGCTGCAGGTGTTACAAAGGCTTTGACTAAGGGTAGTTCCCTTTGGTACCGGAAACACCCACTGACGTTTAGAGAAAAGTCGGTTAGCGGTGGTAGTATTTTTCCTTACCGATGGAAGGCATCACTGGAACTGTAACGGAGCCATTTCAACTGTCTGGTGTATGAGTACACACAGGGCCCGGTTACATGCTGAGAGTTATTGTTAGAAGCCAGTTGCACGGTGATATGCAAGTACCGGCAGTGTGGCTAGCTACCAGCTGTTAGAGTAACTACATTCCGGGCGCTAGGAAGAGGATCTATTCATGGGAAGCAATGACTGACGAGTCTATGCCTCGCCAGTGTCTAGAAGACCGGCCAGAGTGAAGCTCTGATTGCCCGGTGATCCTCTGTATCCTCTGAGCATTGTAAGTCCGCCGAAGGGCAGGGACTATGCTAGGGAAGTCTACAATAAGCGAAAGCTCTACCGCAATGATTAAGCTTACATCTGAGCGGCAGCTCATTCGTGCAGGTCCTCGGTTGTGTGGCAACCAAGGCTGCAGGTGTTACAAAGGCTTTGACTAAGGGTGGTTGCCTTGGGTATCGGAAACACCTGCTGATGCTTAGAGAAAAGCGGGGTAGCGGTGGTATTGTTTCCGGTACTGAGGGAAGGCCCACCGGAACTTAGTAAGGAGTTAGGAGCAGAGAATAGAGGCCTTCGGAGTATAAGTACTCAGGTTCATTCTCGCCCTTCAGTCCTGTTCTCTCCGGTCTTCATCAGAAAAGAAAAACCAAGTTCTTATCGGTAGCAGAGCCCTTAAAGATTATTGAGTTCTAGCGATAGTATCTTTGAATAATCTGCAACCTGATTGTCTATCTTGCACGGCCGTCTCTATTCTATCCGATTCTATTTCTCTTAGAAAGGACCCCCGTTACAGATAATCTTTAAGGCTCAAGTCACCTTCAGATTATTCTTCCTCTATACAAAATGTCCGCCCTCTCGGCTCCAGATGCACCCCTTCAGATTGAATGGCAGCCGGTGCCCCTCCAGCTTGATGCCACCGGGCAGACACATCTTGTTAAGAAACCCAGGACCGCTCTACAGGCCTATATTCCCGGCTGTGAGCCTGCCTGGCAGGATACCGATGAGGTTTCCTTACAACAGTTCTTCACAGAGCTTCAGACCTACCTCCAGCACAGCCTGCAGAGTCAGTTGAACCGAGGCAGTCAGGCACTGCTCATTGTACAAGAGCGCCAGGCAGCACAGAATGCTCTGATGGCAGAAGCTCTAGAGTACATGAGGTCGGAAGTCAACTCTGTTCAGGAAGAGCTCCGGAAGTATGCAGAAAGAGATGAACTGAATGCCGATGTTGATGCCATGGAGATTGAGTGGACAAATCCGGCCACCCCACCAGACTTTGTTGCCGAGATACAGAGAGCTCTTGATG